CATCGACTAATTCTTTAACACCTGGCTTCATGAAACCTCTGCCTTTAACCTTTCTGATGGTTGTCCCTCATGTTACCTCCAAATACTCCTGTTGGATGACATGTTTTTTCCTCTTTTGTTTCAATAGAACGGAAATGAACAACAAATATAATTATCTGCACAGTTCCAAATGTCACAGATATTCAAAGAGCAGATTGGAAAAGCATGCCAGCTGAGAGACTGGACAACTTTTCACAATTCTTGAAAATCCTGGGAAGTATCTGAAAACTCACACTGTGACTTAGTGTATGAGGTCATAACTCCAGACATCATTTAGTCCTGAGATATGCTCCAAAATAAGGGTGAATATTGTGCCTCTAGCATAAAAAATATATTAATACTAAATCTGACTTGCCTCAATGACTGCTTGCTTCACCTTTTTTTCTGCCCTCACACTTACTACAGTGACTACAGTGAGCTTTGTAAAATGAAATAGTATTATAGCTCTACTAAAAACCATCCAAATTGAGAATACACACCAAGGACCTCATAATGCCAGAAGAGCTTGAACAACCTGGCTCTTACCTCACCTATTGTCAATCCCCTGTATCCACCTTGCCCTTCACATTGCCTCTCTCTACAACAGGTTCAAGCCTACCCTAAGACCCATTAAAAAAATATATCTGTTATTGGCAATTTCCGTAAAATTCTCCAGAAGGTTACATGACCTATTTTCTCAGTTTTTCTCTCAGGTCCTTTTCAAGGTTCATGTTCTTGGTTACCTGCTTAGTGAGAATTTCCATGAGCATACGCCTTAAAAAACACAACCTCTCTCAAGCAAGGAATCACTCACATTTTTCTTTTTACTGTTTCTAACACATTAAGTGTTATGTTTATTTGTATCTTTATTATCTAGTGTCTACAATATAAATGTCTTGAAGTGGAACATCATTTTTAAAAGATGAATTAAACATTATTATAGTCAAAATTCCAAGAAACTGAGATAAAGTGCAGCAGGTTCCACATCAGTAGATGCTCAAATGATGACAACAAGCTTATAACAAGCAGGAACCTTTTTACTAATAAACATAGAGAAGGAACTTGGAAGGCACATGGAGAAGGGAAACTCATTGGTGGGTATATTGTATAACAGTGATTCCTGGCATCAGAGCTTAGAGAGGGACTTGTTCAAATTATGGGATGGTGCTTAGATATTTAAACAAGAAGAATAATGCCTTTGCCACCAAAGCTGAAGCAGCACGTTCCACTAAACTGTGATAAATCAAAGTATACATAAGGATCAAGCTGGCGTCAGGGGCATTTTCCAGAAGTCAAACACCAGAGCTTCTGTTATGAGTAGTTTTCCATTTGTTCCATGACCCAAAACATCTGAAACTGTATTCAGAATTCTGATTTCAGAAGATTTTGTCATTTAGTAGAATTCATTTTGCTCAATGTGAGATATTAAACATTCCATGTTTCAAGTACTTCAGTCTTAAGCTACACTTCTTGAATAGATGTTATAGACTATAGTCATTGATACTCAGAAAATAAAGGAAAATACATTAACATATGAGTCAGGAATACTTGAATTTGAACGTGGGGTATGTTGCTGACTGTGTTTGAACTACCATGCTCCCTACTTTAATTTCTTCTTGTGTAGAAGGAGAATAGTAAGGCTTAACATGCAACTGTGAGATCTATGAATAGAAAGGAAGGCACCTAGCACAGGCCCTGTGTATAATACTTATACATTAAGGAATAGTCTCTTTGATCAAAAGTACTTGTGCTGATCAGTTTTTGTCACCTTGACACAAAACAGAGATACCTGGGAAGAGGGAACCTCAATGTAGGAATGTCCTCCATCATAGAAAACTGTGGCCCTGTCTCTGAGGCATTTTCTTAATTGTTATTTGCTATGTGAGGGCCCAACTCTCTGTGGAGGGTGCCAGTCTTAGGCAGGCAGGTCTGGGTTACATTAAAAAGATAGCTGAGCATGCTGGGAGGTATCAAGCCAAAAGCAATGTTCCTCTATGGTCTCTCCTTCAATTCCTACCTCCAGGGCCCTGAACAGAGTTCCTATCTTGACTTTCCTTGACAATGGTGTATGTATAGCCCTTTCCTCCCCAAGTTGGTGTTGGTCAGTGTTTTACTATAGCAACAGAAATCAGTCTAGGACTGTAGTCTAAGACTGTTTTTCCTTAGGGCATCACAGTGCTATTTCTAGGAACTAATATATTGCTATTTAATTTATTCACTGACTCTTTAATATACTCATAGAAACTATTTTTAAAAATCTCATAATTAACAATGCAAATGTTCCCTTATGAAACATGTGGTAAATCATATTTTAATAAATATTTATAGGCTTAGTAAAATGTATAGAGATTGTGTTCCATATGTTTTACTTGAGGAAATGGGAATCTAGAAGGCGAGTATTTGAGGGAACTGAAATAATTCAGAGTTTAGAAAGTAGATAGCTCAGCTTTCAGATCCTTTCTGGTAATTCAGCTATATAATTTCTAAAGATGAATGTAAGCAGAAATTTTATCCCCATGAATATTTTATTTTTGAATAACTCCACAAGGCTGAGTGTAACCAGTACAGAACAAACAAAATTCCTAGAATAAAGATTTCAGTTCAATAGAAAGAAGAGATTTATACCCTATGGTCTGAAAAATTAGTAACTTCTGTGGTTTATGGAGTCAGGAATGAGCTGTGATAGTGGTCACCAGGTATGCTATACATAGCACTTTCATAGGAGGTAAAAATTGGACTAAGTAAAATGAAACACCCCCCATTATGGTCTACATTTGACAATATGAGTACCTAGCATGCCTCATAGTGAATGAGACATGAAAATCATAATGAATGCAAAGTGATCTTTTAAGAAACTCAGGACTCATTACAAAGTCATTCTGCCTGGAGTATATAATATATACATTCAGCCTTCAATGAAGTCAGCATTTTTTTTTGTTTTAAATTGTGAATAATTCAATACATGGATTGCTATGCCTATTGAAACCATGAATTATCTGACTGTGACATGATTCTTAGGCAGATAGTAAATTCAAAGTTCCTTATATCAGTAAATATATCAGTCAGGGAAACTAGGATGTAGTTGAAAAGATAAACTCAGAATTATGAGAAAGGAGAATAGATGATATTAGCAAGATGTGAAAGAAACTTAAAGCTGAATGCTGATGGATGCAGCATGTCAGAAGGATTTTAATGACTTCCAAATTAGGCACATTGTGGTGGGTTCCAGACGAGAAGTAGAGTTTACTGAGTGAAGAAATCTACTGGTGAATAAATGGCTTATCTGTCTTTTGAAGCAGGATCTGTGGAATATTCCCAGGTCTTCTTCTGCCAAGCGCTATGATAGAATTTAAAAGATCATTTCTTCTCACATCTGAGAAGTGGAAAATGCTTTAACTCTAAATCATGTAACTCAGTACAGCATGCTATCATCATCTTTGGATATATGCTTGTTTTTATCATGCTATGAAAATTTAGGTGAGCCTTGCTTCCCTTATTAAACTTTCATAATATCTCTAATAGCCCTTTAGCAAGTTGATGGCCTTTTATCTAACAAATATCCCTGGAACCCAGGATTTATAAAATTCTCCATCTCCCAAGTGCACTGTATGATTACAGAAAAAACATGTTGGATTCTTAGTTTCACCAAACTAAAAAGACATATTTTTAGAATCAGTAATTTTGGCTTTCTATGGTAAAGATTTAATGTCCCCTGAAAAAATGAAGTAGTGATCCTTCCTGATAGTCTCTCAGATATATACTTAGTAGCTCTGCTCTGTGCCAAGAGGCAGGTCTCTAGGAATGCTTTCCCTTACTCAAGCTGAAAATTTTTGTTCAGCAAGGGCCATTTGTGCAATACTCACAAGATCTATCTCCTTCTAATATAAAAAGTTTTCTTCTTGCTAATTTTTAATTCCACTTGTGAAAATAAAGTTCAAATCTCTAGATCGTCCTTCCTAAACATTTATTCCCAGGATATGTATGGCCTGCTTCCTCATCTTACCTTCCTTTATCTAGTAACTGCCTCCAGACTATTCCATACATGTGCTTTACATTTTACCTGTCTCCCACCTCCCAAAGTAGTCATCTGTCTCCCATGATTTCAGGAATACAATCTCCAAAACTACTTAAAAGGAAGAGGAAGTTGAGGCTTGTCCTTGTTTCCAGTGGGTTAGAACCATTATGTTAGTGTCTCGTATTTGATTTAAAGCTTTATTAATATTGATGCCACTGTAATTTTAATCCTATCACTCTTAAATGTTACTAAGTTGTTGTTTCTCGGGAACACTGCCTTGGTTGATGCAATTTAAGATTTTGACAAGACATACATCTTAAAGCTACAAATACTTTCCAAATGAAATTTCAATTTCCAAAATTTGAAATATCAATTCATAAATTTATATAAAAATAATCTACTTACACATTTATATCATTATGCCTAAAAAATATGTTATTAAGTTTAGTATGTCTATAAATCAAAATTAAAGAGTTGATTCTAAAAAACTGTGGGGTGTATTTTTGTGCACATGTGTGGGTCTGCATGTTAGTGTGGGTGCACGTGCACTTGTTGCCATGAATGAACGTGCAGTGGGTACACCCACGTGGTGAGAGGACAACCTTGGGTGATGCGCTTCAAGGGCTGTCCACCTTGTCCACTTTGTTTTTTAAGACAGGGTCTGGCACTGTCCTGGAGTTCACCAAGTAGGTAAAGCTGCCTGGTTATGGACTCCCAAGGATCTGACTTTATCTCTCCTATGCTGGGAATTACAAACATATAACTTTTTACATTCTGAGGACTGAACCTTACTCGTCAAGCTTTCAAGACAAATACTTTACAACTGAACTATCTCTCCAGCACAGAAATTGTTGTCTTAATTGAGACATGTTTAGCTCAACACATTCTTAAACACCCCAAATCATCTGTTTTCTGATGGCACACTCTAGGTAAGGCACCATAGTGTGAAGATATGGTTATGAATTACCTCTTCCTTTCTTGTTTCACGTCCTTTCTGTACAAACCAGACGACTTTTGCTTGTAAAGATCGTGGGGTGCATTCCAGCAAAGTACTGTTGTTCTCTATGCCATAAGCCAGTCTCTCTTCAGTTTTATCCAAAGCATCTCCTGTTAAACAGGAATTTTGTCAGCCTTGCAGTATGAATTTTTTAGACAAATAAAAAATTTGTATCAAGTCCCTATAAAATGTGAATAAACTCACTACTTGTTCATAATTTCTACACAAAGTCCTTTAAAGGATTTACCTTAAATGACATAACAAAATTTTCAACTAAATAGGCAGGTAGACTGTGGGGCGAGATAGAAGAAAACAGCAGAGAATTAGTTTCCAAAGGATGAGATGGTAAGGGCAGTAAGAAGGTGCATCAATATTAAGCTAATAGAACAGCAATGTCAATATCCTCTGATGATGTGGGGAAAAATCATGAGCATCAAATGTTCAAACAAGGCACCTGTTAAATATGTGGTTACAAACAAGAGCAAAGATCTCTATACGATTATGTAAGCAAGTGTGGGTGGCATCTAGACAAAGGACAGCAGTTATCAAAGTGTTGGGCTGAAAGACTGAACTGAAGACTGTGAACCAGAACTTTTAATTACATTCTATGTCTTAGACCAAAAAGACTCTCACTAGATTTGAATTCAAATTTGAGTAAGGCAAGTAGGCCTACTTGCAGTAGAAAGTAAATGCAAGCACTTTTTCTTCTTTCTGTTTATATCAGAATGAATTGAATAACTAGATCCCAGGATTTTTTTTTTTTTTCTTTCTACTACCCAAGTCCTCCTGACTTTCCAAATTGAACAATATACTTTGTAAGGTTGAGGTAATACTTTCTCTGGCTGGTGCTCATAAGCTGGAAGTCCTGCGCTAAACCCTGAGTTAGTTTGGGTCTAACAAGTTGAATCCGGGCTGTAAGCTCAGAAAGTGGGCACAACCACCGCTGGTTTCCCACCGCAATGCCCTTCCTCTGTGGCGTCTCCGTGAACTCAAGGTCATAAAACCCAGCATGGTCATCATCCACTGCGATGTGGATCAGGTGAGAAATTTTTCCTGTCTTCTTTGATTTTGCCTAAAGCTGAGGCCAGTTCTAAGTTAACTGTTGCAAAAGAGGAAAAGTTTCCATTTTGTCCCAAACTTCATTAGATCAGTTGATGCAAGTTACATCATACGTGGTAAAATCAGTTGTGAGGTGAAGAGGTTCGGCACTGGCATCAGTCAGCTGAAGTATGCTGCTTCAGCTTCTAAGATTCTGGGGCTTTGAAGTCTAGTATCAGATGGTGATAGTGGCATCTGAATCTAATCTTGCTAGTTTTGTAAACATTATTATAAACCTACAAAATTGTGAGTACATGGAAGGAAACCAAATATGTTCAACATCAGCGTCCTCACACAAAAAAACCAAGAAAGTGACTCATTTAAAGGAATATACAGTTTATTATCAGCATCCACTCTAAGTAAGTCATAACAATTGATTTTCTATGGATTACCAACAAACTGCTGTCCGAAACACTGCTGGGCAGCGTTGCCATGCCGAACATCTTGTCTGCGGAACCGTCTGAAAGAAAGAACATTTAGATTCTCAGATTTTAATTTTCTATGTTTTAAAATACAGCCAATCATATTGAAGATTCAAGTAAAATTCTTTTGTTGAAAAAAAATCAATCACATAAAATAAGTATATGACACAATTTTAATACTTCCCATATTTCTATGGAGTAGAAATAGTTCCAATAACTAAAAGATCTATTCAACATTGCTGTTTAATGTCATAGATTTGAGTTCTAGATTCCCAAATAGTAATTTAATAAATATCCCTTTATATTTTGTTAAATATTTAATTCAACAGGAAAGTTCTAGTTTGAAAGGAGTGATTTGGGCTGGCAAGGGATGTGTGTAGATAAGAACAATCAGACCTTAGGCAGAACATTGGAGTAGAAAACTACTACATATAATAAAGTACAAGGTGAAAAAATATATTTGAATCCAAATATTTGATTTTACTCCCATGATGATTAACCACCAAAAACAGAGTTTCTAATAAGGAAAAGAACTAATAGCATACTTCACATTTTATTTTTATTATTATTATTTTTAGTAATATGTTTGAGTGCATGTCTATGTGGGCTTACGTGTCATGTGAATGTAGGTTCCTGCTGAGCCAGCAGAGGGTGTCAGATACCCTGTAGTTTGAATTACAGCTGGTTGTAAGCTGCTCAGTGTGGAGGCTGGGAACTGAAGCTGGATCTTCTGCAAGAACAGTATGTGCTCTTAACCACTGAGCTATCGCTCCAATCCCTTGGCTTTCTTTCTATTTAGGTATAACTTTAGAAAACACATGCCTCTATTCAAAGTGCTGGTGTGTTCACATGTTTAATTGTGTTTTGCATCCTTTGGGACTCAAAAAAAAACTAGTTTTCTTGCCTTCAATCTACCAGATTATGTCTAATATGGTTTCATATTTTAGGTCTTGCTTAGGTATATAACTATAAAATGTACAAGGTCCTCAAATAATAAGATTTTAAGAATATATAGCAAACATTAAGGTTTTAAGGAATTAGAGCTGGAGAGATGGCTCAGTGGTTAAGAGCACTGACTGCTCTTGCAGAGGACCTGGGTTTGATTCCCAGTACCCTCATGACAGCTAACAACCATCCGTAACTCCAGCTACAGAGGATCTGATGCCTTCTTCTGACCTCTGTGAGCACTGCACACCACAGGTGCACTTATATGAGGGCAATACACATAAAATAAAAATAATAAGTAAAATATATATTTTTAAAACTTTTAAAGAATTATTATAAGGAATTAATTGATAGAAAGTATCATTATTTGTACTGGAATTCTAAAATCAAGATCTGTGATAAACTTAGACGCAAAAATAGAAATATTTCAAAAAGGTAGGAAAAAACCACTTGCTGTGACTCATGGTATTTCTTCAAGACGGAGGAGAAAACAGCAAAGCAAAGCCCAAGTGTCACCCTAGAGAGTGATGGTGGTTTCCAAAGTGATAAGGAGACACATTACCCATCCCTAGGGATCGAATTCAGGAAAGCAAATCAGATTCAAATACCCTGTGCCCAGTAGCCTCCAGATGTCCCCATTCAGCTTCTCTTTCCTGGTTCTTTGCATCCTCATTGGTAAAATGGAGTTGGCTAACTGACAGCTGAAACTTATGAGAATCTGCAGTGTTTCTTGTTATTGTTCTAAGGTCTTTTCACTCTGTCTAAAAATGATAATGGATTGCTAGCAGAGACATGAAATTTTCCTCACAAGGGAAAAGCTAAGGCAGAAGAACATTCCCACTCACGTTCCGGCATTATGCACTCTTGTTTATTTGGTTGTAAATAGATTACCAATCAGAAAATTTTATCAAAAAACCCCAGAATTTTACAAAGTAAAAGTCAAAACTTCCATATGAATCATTGCTTTGAGACAGAATGACCAAAGAACCATGAGAAAATTAGAAGCAAAAAAAGCATCAAGTTTTACATTTAATTTTATCCTAACATGTACAGCCACTATACAACTGACAGCAGTCGGGACTGGAACTCAAGGGCTGCTGCTAATTTCTCACTTGGTTCACTATTACTTCCCTGCTGGGACTTGAAAGCCTGCTAAACAATAGTGACTAATGAAGCGGGGATTTTTAAAAATGAAGGTGGGAATACTTTCCACATTGCAGGGATGCTCTTTAATTGAGATTATTATACTGGCAATATGAAACAGGAATCTCATCATTTAGATAAGCAGGATGAATGGTAAACAAAGAGTGCAAAAACTTGTTCAAAATCACTGGCAACATACATTTAGAAAAACGTTACACCCTCCAGCAAAGTTTTGGTTTCTTTTTTTACTATCCAGTAAATTGTTCTTTATGTTAGAATTAAAGAAAACACATATCAGGGTCCGGACTTTGAGAATGTTTGAGCAAAGTTGCATTTCATTCTTGAAGTCTGCATATTCTTCTTACATTTCTTACTTCTTTGAAAGCTTCAAAGAGAACACTGGATATACACACAAGGGGAGCTTGGAGGAGAAAAAGAGCTAGTTTCACAGGTCATAGAGTGTTCTGGAAGGCCATTTTTAAACAAGGGATATGGATTATAATTTAACATCTTTCCCCTATTGACTCATTTTCAGTCTATGAGCAGAAGAGTGTTTATTTGAATGACTACTTTCCTCTTTCAGCTTCTATTCAGCTTTAAAGCAGAAATGATCACTATGAAAGCAAACTATTTTCCCTTCATGAGCTGGAACTTAACCAAAAAGTTCTCCTCCGGGGGCGGGTGATTGTCGAAAAGAATTTGACACGACCGAAAGATCTCTATTATACATCACTGAACCAAGCAAATTCATTTCTAGCATGGTTCTTACTGCATTTCATCCATCCTCACTGCTATTTTGCTCACTCATTTAACTTTTCCTACATTACTCTTTTTACCTATCTTTTCAAATGTTGCCAACCTTGTGGTTCTGTACTCTTAAAAGGTGCACCAGATACCAAGAAATAATTGCTCTGGAAATTGCTTAGTTAAAGCTGATTGTCACTGCCTAACAAGACCTTGCTATTTGTAAACCTTGGTGCCAGGATTGATAACATTTTCATTATTACCAACAACTACATATTAATAAACTTTATCACTTATAAAAAAGAGTTTGAAGAAACATTGAATGAACTTTGTCTATAAAATATATGCTTTGGTTTCAAAAGGATATAAGATTTTAAATAACTTCACTATAAAGAAATGATCAGTTTGAAGGCAGATGCATTTATTGTGATTTATACTGTACTGTATGTGGAAATATCTCATTGTAATCCATAAATATCTACAGTATATGACAGCTAAAATTAAATCTAAGCAAAATTTAAAATCTACTAGTATTGTCTTAAAAAGTGTTCTTTCAAACATCAGATTCTATTCTTTTAACTGGAATCTCCATATGTCTTTATCTATAAGAATGTGTTCAAAGACTGGGTTAGGTTGAGGCTGTATATCTTACATTTGGTCAACTACCCTAAATACTCAGAAGAAAGCTCCTGCCATTATTATTTGCCAGTCCTCCTCCACCTTGGGCTTTGGTTTCCTGGAGACAAAGGCCAAACGATGTTTCTTCAAACTTCTTGCTCATGGTACAGTAAGAGTGTAGTGGGTAAATAAAGTACTGATTAACATTTAAAAATAATATTACAGAATATTCCTCAAGAACGACTTTAAATACCAATAATTATTTGTAGAAAATCTATTAATTTGCTCAATTATTTAGCACAATTGATAAATTATTTTGCCTCCAGTTCCCTTTTAAGTCTCATTTCATCTTAGCCTGTCCTTTCTTTAAATATTTACTAGGATTTTGATTTGCTCAAGACAAATTAATAAAAGTTTTGAATTAATGAAATATTTTACTTTTTAGTGAGATCTTGCTATTTATGTAATCCTTAAAAAGAAATTACACTTATTTAGTTTTGACTCTAAAATATATTTAAAGAAAAATAACCCAAAGTTAAATGGCAAAAATAAACTAAAATGAATTTTTCTTCTGTCGGGGAACTTTAGATTGGTCTATGTGTTGCTTAACTATTCCTTGTGAGTGGGAAAAACACTCTTATAAGAAGTAATTTATTTCTCTAAGGTGTGCACAGCTTCATATAAAATGAGTGAAAAATATAAACTTTTTCTTCAAAATGTTTTGGGAACACAAACTCCTTTTGTTTAAAGAATGTTGGGTTACTCTCTTACAAATGGCGATGACCTTACAGAGTTATAGACATTAGAGTTTAAAGGTTTTTCAGTACTTCTCATTTGTGTTGAATTAAATCACACATTTTATCAATTATAAGGTCATGTATTTGCTTAGGAGTTAAAATATTCACTTTCAAAATGAAATAAATGAAAACCAGCTGAGGAGACGACATGGGAAACTGCAGGGCGTACTTTAGGGTTTATTTATTTTCTTTTTAATCTTCAAATCCTTTAAGTGTGACTTGCCATTTCCATGTTTTAAGTTTATCTGAATTTTATCGTGTCTTGCAACAAAATAATTTTAAGGGGGAGGAAGAGTTAATGCAAAGCAGGGAGGAAAATGAAAGTCCAAGGCATGCTCTGCTCCAATCAGTGCACAGGATAATTTTCAGAAAAATGTCAAGTTTTGGATGCTTATATTATGATCAAAGTACAACCAAGCTATTTTGCTTAGACACCAAAAGAAGCAAATCATTTTATTCTGAATAGTGGAAATTTTCTACCAAGTACCATGCCTTACCTTTTTGCATGTGTACCTGTTGGGTAGTACCGGGAGCAGGATATGCCATCCCAGGCACAGTAAGGGTCTCGAGCCAGACAGCAGTCAGCACAAGCACTACCATACATGTCGCAGTGATGGAATCTGACTTGAGCCACAGCAGAGGCTGATCCAATGTAGAGCTGTTGCTACATAGAAAGCAAGGAAGGCAACTAGCAGAAACGGACAGCTTTCACTGAGCTATTGCTGAGAAACTCTTATATGTGTATACAAGCACCTCTGTCCATATGCAGGTACATCACAGACATTACCAAGGATAGATAATGGGACACTGAGACTGCTGTTTTTTAAAAATTTAAATTCTTGTACAGATTAGGAGGAGAAACAAAATTGTTGAATTCAGCTTGCTCAAAACACAGAAGACTGTTCTTTAAGTCATTTTCTAAGCAGGAAGATTCTTGTATTACCTAACATTCTAAGCCTCCCTTTAGAGATCTACAGTAATAGTAAGAGCTTTAATAAGTAGATTTTTAAACTACTGATATAAACATTTAGGAGATGTTTGTGCAATCAAAATTGTGTGTGTGAGAGAGAGATGAACTAGAATACACTATAAAATGCACAAAGATAAAAGCAGCAATTTACTGTCACATGTTTCCATTTGCTAACCATGATAATTCTTTGATAAATAAACCTGAGGCAACATATGCAACAACTATTTCTGGAGAAGGTTAACCTGACATTGACTCCGCTGCCGTGAGAGATGTGTATCACGTCACACTTTTTTGCTTCTCATATTTACTATTATTGTTGCAAACTCAATAGGTGTATTATCATGATTTCATAAATAAAATTATTCTCAGCTTCCTTTTTATCACAAAATAGAAAATAAAAGCATCTCTTAAATATAAACCACTACATGCTTCTGTAGGCACCAACCAATGTGCATAAAATTGTGGCCAAGCAAGTTTGGACACACTTTTGAGGTCTGCTGTGTAACACTGAACATATAATCAAGTGTAGAGTACTATACATTTATAAAATTCATTAAGATTGTTCTCATGCACTTACACTAGTAATATAAAATACTAAAAAGGAAAGCTATTTTTCATATATAAATCATGTTCTAACATTCTTACATTCTTTGGTTTTAGCTAATGTACAGAACAGACACGGGCAACATGCACAACTTACTCTCTTTGAAGAAATTTCCATAGAAATGATAGGAACTGGATCCTGAAATTGAAAATATTTTCTTTTTAATAGGGGAAACATTGGAATATATATCTTAATATGAAGTCAAATTACTTGTGAGTGGTTCTATGCATAACATAGGACATATTTCTTTTCATAAATCAATACGTAAATCCAGTTCAATTAAAGACAGCTTTAAATTTTCTTTCTAATGAAGGATCTGAAATGCATATAAGAAATGCAGTGAATAATTCTACCAGCTTATTTTAAGTCTCTGGAATGCATTGCACTGACTTTGAATAATATTTGTGATTCATACAGTCCAATACTCTCATATAAAATAATACATTCAAAATTTTAAATAAAGTATTTAAACCATTAGAGTAGATGAAACATTTCTTAAAAGAGATGATACTGCTAATGGGTCTTAATTATTTTCATCCAAGCCTGAACAGAAAACATTTCTACAGGAATGGTCATGGCGAATCACTGTAAGTTTTTTGAACAGGATGAAGAACCTCATTTTCTTAGACTTGCAGTAGAGGAAGGACAATATATCATGCATCTTTGGGAGCCTCTGTGATGGTTTAACAGTGTTTGTTAATCCTAGAGTCTCTTCAAGCAGCACAACAAACTTATTCTCTAAGTGTGGAAACAGCAGGCAGATGTAGTTCACCCAGAATAATCACCCTTAGAGAGATTGCTGAGTGTCGTTGTTGTTGTTGTTTTGTTTTGTTTTTGTTTTTTTTTTAAATTGCTCCCTGAAGACTCCAGTACCAAAATGTTTTCAATCTTGTAAAACACATTTGTGTGTTTGTAGGTGTTGTTGTGTGTGTGTGTGTGTGTGTGTGTGTGTGTGTGTGTGTGTATTCAGGTGAGATGGTGTAATGGGAAGGTCATAGGACAATTTGAGAGAGCTTATTCTCTCCTTCCACCCTGTGGGTTCCAGGGATCAAACTCAGTTTATTATGTTTGGCAGAAAGCTTCTTTTCCGAATGAACCATCTCTTCAGCCTTGTCAGCACATTTTTTTAAACACATTTTGATTTAAAATCATTTACACATCAGTGCATTATTCATACATTTATTCCTGCATTAATGCTTATTGAGCGTTAATAGGAAAAGATACAATGGTGGATACTGTTAATGAGAGCTGTGATTCCCCACTGTGAAATTAAACGTTACATAGAAGTCCAAAATGCAAAACAGACAAGTCTATGTGCTTCTGTTGAGATAGAGGCGTGGTTAACTGAGTGTGTAGCACTGGGGAATCCAGTCTCCAGGATAGCAAAAGCAAATGTCTCACTCTTCATTAATCACGTCTTCTCCATGAAATTCATTATATCCACATTTTGTCAACCATGGTAGATTACAGATTCTGATTTAGAAATATGTCTGCCTGCTAAATTAGTTTGTAATCCTAATATTAATCCATGATAGTATTCCTGTCATTTATACATACACATGTTACAGGGCAACAAAATGTTTGAAGTGTGGAATGTACAAATTCCAGTTGAAATCAGCACAGCATCTTTCCACTCTGTTTCAGCACCCCTGGTACAAATAACTGTCCTATTTATGACTGCCTAGTACCTTTTGGTTTTTCATTTTTATACTTTTTGATGGTGTTTGGCTGTTTAAAATGTGCTCCAAGCAAAGTACTGATGTGTTGTTCAAAATTTCTAAACTCAAAACATCTGCATGCATCTTAATGTAAAAAGAGGATGTATTATACAGCTTCACACAGGCATCAGTTATAATGCAGAGAAATCAACATTGATTCATCAGCAATGTAGACCAAGATTTTTTAAACAGAACAAAAACATACATAAAGGTTATGATTTGATCACGTGAAAAAATTGTCATCAGAAATATGTAGCATCCTCCTTGCCAGAAATGTAAGTTAGTATTCATAGTGATCTTAAGTTTGATAAATGCTACAATAATGAGACCTTACAGTATATGTTTATTGTAGTGTGTGTGTACATGCATATATTCAAATGTAATTGTTTTATACTACATTCTCCACTATAATTTTCTAGTTTTCCTTTATTGATAACTTCTTTGTTTAAATACTACATTATAACTAAAAGCAGTGTATCTCCCCCGTCTTAATGTGCACTATTTGAAGTCTGTCATTTTCTGCCAGTTCTGGTAGTATGTTTGTGCACGGTGTGATTCTGCCATAGTTATTCTGGAATACACGCCTGAGATAAGTGTGATTTCTTTATCACAATGGTTTACATTGACAATTTTTCATACATACATATTGATACCTTTTATTAAAAAAATTGACAATGAAATAGAAGCACTAGGATTTTAAATCATTGTTCACTCAACTTGTTTTGAATTCAAAACACACCTATGAGGGAAAAACTGAGATGACACCTTTCCTCCTTGTGTCTCAGTTTCAACTGTCTGTGGTACATAGTTTATGACATAATGTTTATCAAATTACCTTAAATATCTGAAGTTCTTCAAGAATAACTTCTTCCATTGATTCTGTTTCTTGGTTGTAAATTGTGATTACTTTCAACACAACTCCTGTATCTGTATAAAAGCAAAATAGGTAATAATCAAAGTGGCTTACTGACTTTGACTTCAATAAGAATGTATAAAATATTTAATCATTGGCAATTAGAAAATCACATGACTAATTATATATTCATAGCTTCAATTAGCAAAAATCAATTTGGTATTCCTAGTCAAAAATTTAAATGTTGGGCCTGCAGAGATTGTTCAGGGGTTAAGAGTATGGGCTGCTCTTGCAGAGAACAGGGTTTGAATCCCAGCACTTACAAGGAAGCTAAGAACAATTGGTAGCACAGGATTTTTAAAATAGTTTGGCCAATCCAAAAATCAAATTATAGATTCAAAAATCAAAATGCCACACTTTTAGTAGTTTCTTTTGTAATGCTTCATGCAAGAAAATATTTTCCTTAAACTACTTACATAGTAAGAAAGAGACACACTTTTAACCTTAAGGACCATTCCAAGCAACAAACCATGGAAATCACAGGTACACTGTTTTCATGTGGTGAGGGCTGAATGCAAGCCCTGCCACATGCTAGGAAAAACTTTATCACTAGGCTGCATCTCCAGACCTACTTATACTTTTTGTTTTTATATATTGCTTTTGGTCTATATAAGTACGTAAGAATAGTATTTTTATTGTGTTTTATTGTTTGCTTTTTTGTTTTTTCTGTTGTTTTGTTGTTTGCTTTTTCATTTCATTTTGTTTGTTTTGTTCTCTTTTGTTTGTTTGTTTCTTTTTGGAGACAGGGTCTCCTTGTAGCCACAGCTGATCTGGAACTCACTACAGCCCAGACTGGCCTCAGTCTCACAGAGATCTGCCTGTGTCTGCCTCCCAAGTGCTGAGATTAAAGGCCTGCGCCACCTCCTGGTTAAGATTGGTGTTTTAAAGCATATGCTAAAACAGGCTATAAAAGAGGTTTAGAAGTTCCAGGTTACCTTTGATATAATGTGTTACTTTAGGTTGTTTGTCCCAAATTTTTAATTTAAAAACCTGCCGTAGGTTAAAGTGCAAAGAATAGATATATCTGTATTTAAAATCGAAAGGATGGGCTAGGGAGTTGACACTGACAGTAAAGCGCTTGCCATGTAAGCATTAGGACCTGAGCTCAGATCCCCAGCACTGACTGCAAAATTCTAAGCATAGCAGTGCATTACAGCAGTGTTGCAATCCCTGCACTGAGGAGGGGGACAGAAGGAGCCCTGGGTTTTGCTGGCTAGACGCACCCACACAGCCAAGGGAAGCCTATTAGTCCTCCTTCACCGGCAGTTAGGCTTCCATAATTTATTTTTTTGTACAACGATATTGCTATTTTAAATTTTCCATCTTATTTTTTAATTAATCTTGATATTCTGAGTATTTGGGAAGTTTAAACAAAAGATTATCAAATCTTGTGCTGTCTGAGTTAATAAAAGTAAATTACAATTAATCTTATACATAGCACATTTATTTTGTACTAACTAAAAGAATCAAAAATTGTCACATTTTAAAAACAAAAGGCATATTAGTCTACAATTTTATTAGCCAAATGCAAAATGCAAGTTGAATTGTTAATTCACAAACAATGATTTTGTAATCATGACAGGTTGTTATTGCATTAGAGTCTATGCTTGACTAGAAAATAGGCATTGTAGGTATTGTAGAAAATACCTATTATTTATTATGTTTTCCAATGTATTTTTGCATACAGTCCTCAATTGATTCATTTTCTCTAGGTGCTTGTGGTTCAACATGATTTTAACTATGAGTTAACTATTATGTAAATGATAGTTCTGGAATATTCTCAAGTGTCTTTGGTAATTACAACAAGAAAATATTTCTTAGAATGGTATATATGACTTCTGCTTTCCAGGCCATTTAAAATAAAAGTCATTAATTATATCACATTTGAATCGTGCTTTTGGGAATGACCATTTTTAATGGTCAGAAATATCAGTGAATGAACTGATGATGAGGTAATTTTAGGTTTCCTAAAGAAGCCTTATGCTCAGATAATAATGAACTCATGATTTAGAACACATTTTTTTTTTTAGTCTTTTTGAGACAGGGTCTCCCTGTATCCCCAGCTGTCCTGGAACTCACTATGTAGATCAGGGTGGCCTTGAACTCACAGAGATCCGCCTGCCTCTGCCTCCCAAGTGCTGGGATTAAAGGCGTGCACTACCACGCCTGGCTAGAACACATTTTTAACTTCCTAAACAGTGATAAAATATAACCTTTGCTAGAATTCATTTCTGATGATAAGATTACTGTTTCTTTACTTAAATTTTTATTTCTAGAAAAAGAAAAAAAATTCTTCCCAGAGAAGTATAAACACCAGCATTAGTAGTACATCCTGATTTCTCAACTGGGCATGCACAAACACCCCTTGAGAATAATGTCTTGGTTCATGTTGTAGACAGCAGAATGCTTGCTCCTCTAAAGCTCAACTGTCATAGCAAGTGTTTTGCTGGGTAAGGGGAAAGGAATTTTAAAGCACCTCACAGGATTTGTTGCATACCACTCTGGACACTGAAAGATTTTCAAGTTCTCTTCCACAAACTAAAGCAAAGTGATGAAATTAATTGAAGCTATAAATTAATCTGTAATTTCAGTTTTAGCATATTCACTAAACTTTGTTTTGTTACTATAAGATACTATATCTTTGAGGTTGAAGGCTGCCTCCTTTGTGGGTGAGATTTGGCCTACTTGGTACCAAAGGCTGATTGTGATGGAGGCTGATGGCCATTGTGAGATTGCAGATTTATGCAAAGTTACTTTCCCAATTGTAGTGAGACCATTAGGACTTACTGAGCAACCACAGACCACCATGGGGCTGGAGGCTGACAAGAGAACTGTCCTCTCTATGCAGTATACTTTCATTCTGAGAGGGTCACTGCATAACCAACACTGTGAGCATCAATTGTTTATTTCTCCACTTTCCTCATCTATTGACTATATATCAGGACTTAAGATATAGCAATCCCAAATTCTCTCTGACTATGCCAGTATTTTGTCAGTTCTGAAGCAAGGGTGGCCTTCAAGTTTATTTCCAGACCTTAACATTTTTGAGAATACAAAAGGTAATAATAATAATAAGTATTCTCAGACAATAGGCACAATATAATAGTCACAAGTTCTTACTGCAATGAGGAGTCTATTTCAGTTTGGCTTATTTGGGATTAGCAGTGTGCAAATAGCTAATTGAACAACATGAAATGTACTGACAGGTGAAAGTTATTATCTGAGGGGCTAGTTGAAATGCATCAAGGCTTTCTTATCTCTTTACCTGTTCCAATAAATAAAACATCATACTGGCCATCCTCTGCTTCCACTCGATCTACTGCCAATTGCTTCAGGTTATATTTCCCGTCAGTTTTTACCAGTATTGGCTTTTTATGAGTAGGCTTTATGGGCTGGTACATTAGGGGGTGGTTCTTTGCAAATCCAATGGCTTCATCAGGGTACTGCCTGGTGGTTCCATAGCGCCCTCCATTCACTTTGCTGGCACACTGAAATACAAGTGGATTAGATCATCGTTTTTATAATAAAACACAGGAAGAATTAGAAAAAGTGAATAAGTTCAAGCAATAAACTGTTTACTGCACAGCAGTGTTTAGCAGCTCTGTGTCATTTGTTATAGAAATGAACTCAATATTGAAAATTTCAAAGGCTAAATTATTTTAAACATATAGCATTGGAAATACACAGATAACAGTAGAAGCTCAGGACAGTAAACGTATATTGAATATAGGACATTTTGGAGATGGTAAGCGACTATAACAGTATGAACATTCTAATTACTTTCCCAGTTTTCTAAATTTGCTTGTTCATGTTTGAAGTAAAATTTGTAGCTGAAGAACTGATGTTTCTCAAAGGATGAAGTTTAGTGGTAGAGTGCTGGCCTGACATGCCTGAAGCCCTGGGTTCAATCTGTAGCATCACAAAAGAGAGAGAGTGAGAGAGCAACTACAGTCATTAAAATAGAATGTGTGTTTGTTGGGCTAAAACTTAGGGTCTCGGCATACAGAATGATGTAGACCTGCATCTCCAACCCTGGGGAAACTGAGAAAACAGCTCATATCTGAAGCTAGTCTGAGCTACATAGTGAGACCTAGTCTTAAAATCAACTAACTACAAGACTGGAGAGATGACCCAGTGGTTAAGAACTCTGGTTGCTCTTGCAGAGGACCTGGGTTCAAATCCCAGCACCCACATGGCAGCTAACAACAGTCCATAACTCCAATTCCAGAGGGTCCCACGCTATCTTCTGACTTCTGCAGGCATTGCATGACACAGGTGCACTTAAATACATGCAGGCAATATACTCATACATATAAAAAAATAAGAATAATATAATAAAATATTTAAAAATTAACTATCTAGCCAACTGACTAACCAGCTATTTACCTAAATAAATAAATACATAAATAAATGTATCCAAATTATGCAAACTAGATTTCTCATTACTTAGACAATCATAATAAGACTGGCAATTTTCTGCTTGTCTTCCTACAAAATTAAAATGTTTTAATACAGAGAGTAATTAAAAATTCATCATTGCTGGGGCTGGAGGGATGGCTTAGTGGTTAAGAGCACTGACTGTTCTTTCAGAGGACCCAAATTCAATAGCCAGTACCCACATGGTGTCTAACAACTGTTCATAACTCAAGTTCTGGAGGATCTGATGCCCTCTTCTGACCTCCACAGTCATTTCCTGACATGGGTGCACTTACATACATGCAGGCAATACACATACACATAAAATAAAAATAATGAATAAAATTTTTATTAAAAAATCATCATTGCTAATTATCAAGAAGGAAAAATCCCTCTCTGTGTTGTCCTCCTATAATCTGTAAAAATTTGCATTAGTTCATATATATTTGACACGGAGAAAGTGAAAAACTATTATTTTCTTTTGCATGTCTCACTGTTAAATCACTGATGCAAAAATGAAGGGCTCAACAGCTTCTTAAGATGCTACCTGAAGTACTTGTGCCTTCCCTGCTTATTGATAACTGCTCCCTCCTATCACACATGTTCCTCCAGAACCAACATCAATTGTAATGTCCCAATAAAAATTAATTTCTACTATGATACATAAATGCAGTAGCTAAGTAATAAAGTTTTGCAAAGGTGGACTGATAATTGTTTGTTTTAAAAAATAATTCCTTTTTTCTTACTTTGACATGATATGTACACTTGAATGTATTTTCACAGTATATGACTGGAAACATTCTAGACTGGCTTGGAAGCAGTTCAGTAACCAATCGCTTCCTCCAATCTCCTTGAAGGCCATGTGGTTTCAAGAAGCATTTCCACTAAGCCACAGGAGTAGATTTTCCCATTTAAATTGTAATTTCCATTAATATAGTGAAATGAAATATACTTTATATCTTGCTGGAAGTAATAATTTTAAGCCACTGACAGTGATTATTACGATAAAGCTTCACACTTGTTAATGGAGGTGAGGTTTGTTTTCACTTTGAGTTATGGCTTTGCAAACATTCCTCCATGACTTTGGGGGTGATTATGAAATCTCTGTATTCACACCATTTCACCAGTTGCATGTAAAAGTGAAGATGTTGGAGCTGGAGAGCTGACTCAGTCGTTAAAAGCACTGGCTACTCTTGCAGAGGACCTGGGTTTGGTTCCTAGCACCTACATGGTATCTAACAACTGTCTATAAATCAATTTCCTGGGAATCTGATGCCCTCTTTTGACCTCTACAGGCATTGCATGACATAAGTGCACTTATATACATGCAAGCGATACACTCATACACATAAAATGAAAATAATACATGATTTTTTTAAAGTGAAGATGTTGACTTGCATGACAAGCTCAGTGTTTACACACTGTGACACACATAAGACATGAAATGTTGTGATGTTTTCCAACCTAGTCATCCTTGAAATTCATGATAAAAATCATCATCATCATCATCATCATCATCATCTTTAGACATGTCCAAATCAAAAGCACAAAGGCTGGTATAACAAGTCAGAGAGAATTTTAGTCACAACAGTTTAGAGACAAATGATAGATTTTCTTTTCCTCTGCTAATATGACAAAAAGAAAGTTTTCCATGGGGAACTTGGAGGCAGACACAAATATTAAGATACTAAAACCAAACAATATTTTCTCATTTAAGGTTGACACGTGATACTAATTTTCACAAGGTTGGAAGGAAAATATGTGATGTTTTATTGTATGTTTCTATGTTCACCAGCACCCTTAAAGATGAAATTTCAAATGGAGCTACTTTTCCAAAATATCAATGCTAACATACTTTATAACATTGCTAAGTAAATCCTAAATTATATCCATTTAAAAATTAGCATAAAACTGGATATGAGGCTTATTATTTCTTTACTGCTCAAACAGACTTTCAGATAGGCAATTTCTAAATTGTTTAACTGCAAAACTGGGTAGAAGATGGAAAATGGCTAGTAAAATGTTACCAAAAGAGACTTAGAAAATAAGAACACCTTGTTAAAAGATTACACTTACAGAACCAGGTCTTGGGTACGGGACTTTTCCTTCATACAGCGACCAGTGGTATTCAGGTCCTTCTTTGTGTGCATATGGGCCATTAAAGGCTGCCCGGATACTTGACATATGATAGACACATATAGCATGTCCCCTGAATATATTACTGGAAAAATTTAAAAGTGTGGAAATAACTAAGCGTTCACTTGGTAAAACACTCCAATTTTTATATATTAGAATAAAGTCTTTTGACTAAGAAACTTAACTCTCTGCAGCATAGAATACTCAAGAAATCTTAACTATTACAATATTTTAAGTAATGAAATGCTCAGACTTACCAGTTCTTTAACTTCTTATTTATTACAATGGAAATGACACTGTTAGAAGGATAACATTGTGCTACTTCAATTTGAATTGCTGAGTTCTATGTATGTTTTTCTGTTTAATTTTTAACATTTATCTATTATTCATAGAAGATGCAAGCCACTTCAATTTGAATTGCTAAGTTTGGTGTTGTGTTTTTATGTTTAATTTTTAACATTACTTATTATTAGTTTACAGAAGACACAAGCCATGAGGCATATGTGGGGGTCAGAGGACAACTTGTAAGAGTTGATTCTCTCCTTCCACCATGTGGGTTCCAGAGATCAAACTCAGTTCGTGAGGCCAGGCAGCAATGCCTCTACCTGCTAGGCACCTTGCTAGCCTGTTTTTGTTTGTTTTTAAAGGCCTATTAGCAATCTGAATTAGTAATTTTAAGGCAATATTTCTATATTATTATAGCTTGAACATAGAGTTCTCTTAATCATCATGCTGTTAATCTTACTTCAAATTCTATTTACGTTTGTTAGATTTCTCAGTACATATGCTCTAAAGAACAAGAATCTCATGATAATTTAAGACTTTGTACCAGGTTATGGGGTCTCGTAAATATTAGTACACTTGTTGAATTCTTTCTTCAATAGAAAGATGGTTAATCTGAATATATTAAACCTAAGAATTATATAAAACTCAGACACTTCATCTCTCTAAGTAGCATCAGCTAAAATGACTTTCTGGATAAAAATTTCTACTTCAGAGGATATAGATAGTAGTTGACTAAGTAAAGCAAGTTTTATTTGAGGCATTTTCAACAATATTTAGCAAAAGGACATTGTTACAATACTTTTCAAACATCTGTCCATATTTCTCCTTTGCCATCATGTGAAAGAACTGCACCATTTCCCAGCTTCCAAATTACTTGAATCAAAATAAATGGTGTCTGTGAAGGTATTTTAGTCAAACGTAAAATTCTGTGTAAATACATTTCCTACGCCCTGGGACAGCTGTAGAACAGCAGTCATGTTACTGTCTTAGGACATCAATTCACACATTTTATAACACACCTTGAAGCAATTGAAAGAGCCTGAGGTACTGGGGAAAACTAGACAGTCTCTCAGCTGAAGTGGCAATAACCCTTTGATCAGCATTCTATAAAAATCAACCTCTGTGTCAGGTACAGCTGGGAGCTTTTTACCCCTCTCAGATTTATATATAAACTGAACAAGTTTGAAATCATGGAAAGAAATCATGCTTTTGATTTCTCAGAATAATTCAATATGCTTCCATTTAAGAGACTGATCATAGCAACCTGTACAAAAATAATACAGATAATCTCATAGAGTTACCATATAAAGAATTATCATGTTGCATACAAATAATTTGCTGGCATAAGGGAAAAGAAGTAAAAAGGGGAACTGTCCACATACCAATCTGTATTAGCCATTTTTAATTTGAATCGTTATAATTAGTGGTTATTTCCATGTTATTCTATAGAAGAAAAGTTATATTTACAACAAGGTACTTGTTCAAAGAGCATTTCAAATGTTTCTTATTCAAAGTGAGAACTAGAAGTCATATGTTGAAAAATTAAACAAATCTGTAAGGCCCTAAGTGAGTACCAGCTACAGAGTATCGTTAGAGCTTAAGCTACTGGCAATGGAGAATAGAGTACAATCAATCTATCTCTAAGTGAGCTAAGATATCTTCTCCTTTATTCTTTCCCCAGTCATTTTTCTACACTCTGCCTGATTTGGAAAGATACTTAGAAAATTACTTAGAAAAGTATGTAAACTTTTAACCAAAATCAATTCTAAGTATATTTCTTCTTTCACATATCAATGCACATAAAATATTACTTTATAGAATTCTTTCATAGATATAAAAACATAAAGAGGAAAATAGCAGATCTGAAAGCTTTAAACTTAGCATTTTTCACAGATGGAGCGCAGATGGCAAGTGTGTGCTCACCATGAATTACACACAGGCAGAGGACGAGAATCCAGGTGTGAGGAATGTGCTTCCTGACTAAGGAATCAAGGACTGTTTCTTGGACATGGATGGCAAATGCCAAGTACTGAGGAGCTGATATAAACAAATGCTAGAAGGGAAAGTCATTTCTAGCAGGAGTAATAACTGGGGGTCAGGGGAGTAAGAACTGGCAAGGTAAATGCTGGTTTCTGTCAAGGTATTATTGAGTCAAAAACAGAGAACTGGATCAGTCAGAGGAAAATCTTCCCCCAAGCTAGTGGTTAACACTGAGTACAGCACTTTGAAAGCTTGGCTTAGAAAATTTCATCTGATAAATAAAAGAATTACCTAGACTTCATAGTGTGGAAGTAATATCTTACAAACAAACAAAAATAAATAAATAAATAAAAAGTTCATATTGTTTCAGATAAGCAATTGGAGCGATTGAGATACTGATCAAAGGAGGGGGCTGGGATGCTACAAATGAAACTGACTAGACTGAGGTTGTGGGTTGAAAATGAAAGATGTCCATTTGCAATCACAGGAAAGCAGAAGAACCTTGAGATTTTAACAAAGCATAGGGGAGAGGGACAATGGGGTCAGCAGTATTTCTGAGTTATACACTATGCGAAGGGGAAGGCAGCAAGACAATGGGTCTCTTACAGGGTTCTTATTGACTCTAAATTTCTCACCTGGTGGTGTTAAACAGTCCAAATATCACTGGGTTCTTATGATCTCTTGTATGCAGCAAAAACACATCCTCTGGAAAAATTAAAGATCATTCCATCATTTAGTATTTTTAGCCCATTTCCAAAAAAAAAGATATTTACATAAACTAGTTTAGAACTGTGAATTTTAGGACAAGTTTCCAGTTCCACAGCTATGACTGGGTCAAAACTGTGAATCATTGCTGTTCTGGGTGACCTGAACTGAACCAGAGGAAGCAGAGAGGGAAACAAATGTGCTAGTTCTATGGTAAAGAGACGAGTCTCCTTTTTTTTGTAACTCTTCTGTCCCACCATGTGATCCACCCAAAATGAAAAGACAGAAATTTGCCTTTGGTCTGTTAGAGGTTAAATATTACAGAAGACAGGTTTTTCATATATGCCTGAGAGGAGATTTATAGGCAGCCACATGCATCAAAGAATAAAATGTGGATCTCCCAACAATAATTACCTAGTTCATCAAAATATGTGTCAATTCCATTCATTCCTGGTACTGAGCAAACCAGTCTTGCTTTCAGGAATGTGGTCCACTTGTTTACCATTGTTCTCTGGCCTCCCACATCATTCTGTGAAGAACAAAGCACAGACAAATGAGTACTCGATGAAATTCTCCTGGCGGAGATTCAATATGGTGAAACAGGCGTATGTCGAGAGCTTTCTTATATTTATGTAGGAATTGTACCATAATTCTCAAGTAATTTTATGAGTATATTTCCCTCTAGTTTCTCCTTTGATTGTACATCCTCCTAAACAGTGTACTTTCACTCAAGTGCACTCAATAAATTTTCTAGCTACCAAACAATATTAATATGGTTGCCTTCCCTACATGAAGTAACAGTTCTGTGATATAGTAACAGTAACAGTGGTTATTGTTTTGTTCATAAATCGAATGTCTATCTCAAGAATTTGTAGGGATCATTTTGGTTTTTTTCCTTTATGACAGAAAGTTTATGATAAGCCAGGCCTGGTAGCTCATACCTATAATACCTGCACTTGGGAGTTGGTGGAAAGAGGATCACCCTTAGGGGTGTGTGTGTGTGTGTGTGTGTGTGTGTGTGTGTGTGTGTACTGTGTATTAATATATATGCATATATAGGTACATATATAAGTGTATCTTCACTTTATTCTTAAATATCTTCCTAAATGCCAAAGCAAATTTGCATTTTTAATACTACTAATGTGTCAATATAGATTGTTACTTTATGTTGGTTTGAATGTTCCCAAACAATGTTTCTGAATGTGAAAAAACTGTGGATGTTTTGTTGTTTATTTTTCCCAAAGAACTGATCAGCAGAGGTTTTCAAACCAAATATGTATACCCAAACAGAGCTAAAGAAACAGAAAAGATTTTGTTAAATTAAAAAAAAAAAAACAAAACTAACTTTGGCCAAATGATAGTTCAGTGGGTTAATGCACTTTCAGCTTAGCTAAAGGATCTGAGTTTGATCCCCCTGGATCCACTGGTAGAAGGAGAGAACAGACTCTCACAGTTTGACCTCCACACATGTGCAATGACACACATGTGCACACACAGAGAGAGAGAGAGAGAGAGAGAGAGAGAGAGAGAGGGAGAGAGAGAGTGAGAGACATGTACACAAACTAATTAAATCCATAAATGAAAGTAATAAAATTAAAAGAAATAAAAAAACTTCAATGTGGAGAGAAATGCTAATATATGTTATTTCATAATACAACTTTGAAATGGAGCAAAAATCATGAGCTGTAAGCCTCTTTTACAATGAAATTTTTATTAGCAAAGAAGATTTTATAGACATAACATATGAAGTTTGACCTAGTAGATAACAACTCAAGAAAGCCTACAGACTACTACAAAATACTTAAAGCAGAAGCCTACTATAAAATGTGTGCCAAAGGCTGGCTATGTGCTGTGAGCTAAGCAAGCCTAATGACAGAGATGGTATTCTCACCACGCACAGTCGGCCCACTCGTGAATATATTGTGTGGACATTGTTCTCTGCTTCCAGCGCCTTCTCAGTGAAAAAGAAGTACACTTTGTTGTCATCTCTGTCTTCATTATCAGGAATCATATATGAACCTACAAACTTTGGTTCTATAGAAATAAAAAAGCAGAAGAAATAGTAAGAATTATATAATGATGTAATAATGAAATGTCGCCCTAATAAATTATGTCCCACTCAAATGTTTAAGACTTATCATTTTGTTAGGAGATACGTATTTCTCTTTAAATTTTTAGCCACTCATTGAAAAACAAATAATTACTCTCATTTTATGTGTAGATCAATAGATATTTTAAAAATACAACTTAAATAGAAAACACAAGAATCGTGAAAACAATTTAAACAGTGTATGCCGCAAAGTTAAAATGCATTTAGAAAAGGTGCCGGTTTAAGACATTATGAAATAATCTTTATGCAATTCCCCCCCATTCTCTATATAAAGTGAATGTACCTAGACGTCCCACACTAAAGTTAAAAAAAAAAACTATCACTTTTCAAAATTCATCTACCAATAAACCTCATGGAAGTTCCTTTACCTTTACAGTGGGAAGTTTATGGTTTTGTATTTATAATTCAAAGGATTTGAGTAGATGACTTTTGATTGATATGGTATGCCAAACATTTTAATGATGATGTATATATATTTTGAAACTTAATAAAGCTGGAAATGATGAAAATGTCACCGTAATGCAGTGGAGCTTATTTATTTATTATTTCTATTATATATGTATGAATATATTGCCTGCTTGTATGTAAGTGCACCCATGTCGTGCAATGCCCACAAAGGTTAGAAGAGGGCATTGGATGGCCTAGAACTGGAGTTATGGATGGTTGTCAGTTGCCAGGTGGGTGCTCGGATTTGAACCCAGGTTTTCTGCAAGAGCAGTCAATGCTCTTAACCACTGAGCCATCTCTCCAGCCTCAACATGGTGTTTTCACTCCTAGTTATACCAGTATGTAACAAAATATATAATTTATCTGTTACAAAGAATTGTGTGTCAGAAAAAGACTAGTGACCATCCTAGAGTTTTGTCTAAATGTGCAATCAGATCCTATTAAAATAACCAAGGCAAAATAATTACTCCATCAACAATGGTACCAGTTGATAAGAATAGACAAAACTTATTGGATAGTGCATTTTTTGCTTTTCAAATATTCAATTTATTTCATTTATCTCTTGATTTTTGTTTGCTACAAACAATTGATTGCATAATTGATTTGTAATAATATAATTGAAAATATATAAAACTATATATAATTGCATTCTATATAAAATGATAGATACATATCACATACTTCTGACTCAAGAATGTCATCAGAAAAACTTTTCTGATACTTGTAAATTCTATATTGTACTTTTATTTTTATTATCAAGATGCAGGACTAGCCATGAACTGCAGACTTGTTTTCCACCCTGATTTCCATACTGCCTTCTTTCCAGTTCTACCTTTCAGCAGCCTCTCATCGTCATGCTCAGTGCGAATGTGGGTTAGCCGCCCCAGGCTTCGGAAGATTGCAGAGTCTCTGGCCCAGTAGTCACTGTAGAGACCGGTAAACAGTTCGCTGCCTACACAGGTGCATCAGTGAAAAATAAGTCAGTGTCTGTCACTCTGAAGAAGCAGACACCATGGTTATGCCAAACACATCCAGTTTAATGCACATTCATTCTTAGGTCATGAACACTTTCGTGGCTAAGGGACTAGGACAAGGGCACAGCAGGATTCCAAACCGCCCTTCTCACTCAGCTGAGGGCACTCTGTGCCTCATTTTCTTCTGTTCTGAAGAGAAAAAGGAGAAACACTCAGAGTTGTAAGGAGAAAAGCACTGAGAGGAGCTGGGATATACTGAAACCTCATTTTGGTAAACGGCTTGGGTTCATGCTGTTTTAGTAAACGAGTAATATCATCTGAGTTTTACCATCATTATCATGGCGGCAGGCATTATAATATATGAGTTAGCTAACTCAGTCCTTTCTACATAGAATTTGCTGCCACTAACGTGGTTTTATTGTGGGAACAAGGAAGTCTATCAAAGCACTATCTATTCCCATCTGCTGTCTAAATTGTGAGTTTATGGCTGAGTCAGATGGACTGATAAAAAGAGCTTCGAGTTTAACCAGAATCAGCAAAATGACTGAATTACCTTAGCTGCAGAGAGTAGGGGAGGCCACAGGCTTAAAAACAGATGTTGGAGCTGCTCAAATGTATGGCAGGGTCTCGAGAACTATAATCTATTCTTAGATCCAGAAATAAAGACAAAAGTAGCTTAGGAGTAGAAACAAATCTTTGCTAAGTAAATTGAAAATATGAGGTATAACGGGCATAACTTGGACCTCAGAAAGATAGTCACCTCTGAAGCATAGGGGCTTGGAATGATCCTCCCTCCTACAGCCACAAAATTGAGCCAGTGTGCTGTCAGTGGACCCAGAGCAGTAGTGAATGAATTTCTTAATGTGTGTCCTACAACTCTATTTGAGTTTAAAATATAGAGATCACATTTGTGTAATACAGTACTGACTCTCTCTCTCTCTCTCATATGTATGTTGCATGGTGTGGACATCAGAGTTCAACCTTGGGTGCTCCTGTGCCCCCTCCCCCTCCCCCCCCTCCTTTCTGTTTTCCTTTTACTTCTGTTTTTACTTTAAAAGGTGTCTCCCTCAGATCTGGGCTTCACTGACACAGCTAGGCTGACTGGCCACTGAATCTCAAAGATCTTCCTGTCTCTGCCTCCACAGCTCCCACAACTACAAGAACATGCCTTACTGGGCTTTGTGGATGCAGCTGATCAAACTCCGGTATTCATGGATGTTCAGTAGACACTTCACCAACTGAGTCATCTACCTAGCCCTTACTGAGGCTTTTCTGAATCTTGAAAATTTATAATATCCACATGTTACTTAAAGTACAATAAAATTTTTAAAAATTCAAATTATTGTATTTCTAATTTAATATATGAAGTTATATAGTCAGTATTATAATTAGGATTAATAATGTTGCCAGTATAAAAGTTTGATCAAATATATAAACTGAATTTAAGAGAACCTAAGACTCTTACAAAGTCCATTTGTTAGATTTTCTTCAAGATTTATGAAGGTTCTCTCACTAAATTAGAAATTTTTAAATTTTTTAAAAATTCAAAAATTAAATGTTTGTATGATTTGAGTTTGAGTATTAAACTGAGATACATAAAGGCAATTTATGAAGGTATTTATCTCCAACTTGAGCTAACTATTAATTGCTAAGAAATAATATACCAGAGCTATAAACAGATTAGTAAGATATAAATCATACACAATGTTTTAAAGAGAACATGAGATTTTAGAAGTATTATAGCAATAAATCATTTTTTATTTAAAAACACAAAGAAATCTAAGTAAAATACTTTTTTCTGTTCAAAAAATCCAAAATAGAAATTTAAAAACTATTTAGGGTACATATAAGTGAGATGTAGGTTTTAAACAAAATAATTCACTTTAATATTTGTTTGGTATGGTAATTTATTTTATTACATTTCATATTTGCATTCTACAACAAAAGCAATGCTAATTTAATTTTATTGATTAAAGTTTCAGTTTTCAACTAAAGAAATATAACTTTCAATTACTACCTTGAAGAATATTAGGTAGAAAGTTATGCATGAAAATAATTTGATTATTTACCTTCCAAATAAGTGACAACACCATAATTTTGTAGCCAGGACTTCAGCGTTTATCTAAATTTGTGCTTTTGGCATATATTCAGGAAAAATCAAAATCCACAATGGGAAATTAGTGTGCGTAATAACACCAGACTACAGTAACAGCACACTCAGTCTAGCCAAGAGTTCTTGCTCTTTGTGTCTTTATTTTGGATATATATTTTCATCTTGTCACACTAATTTTTGATATGAATCACTACCTTATTCTCAAAATATTATAACAATGTTTTAATTTCTTCTTTTGTGGCAAATTGTGGCTTATATTATTTATGTTTTTTCACATGAGTACAATATATTTTAATCAAATCCAACCCTCCCTCTCTCTCTTGAGCTCCTCATGTATATTCCCACGTCTTCCTCTCAAATTCATTTTACCATCGTGTGTGTGTGTGTGTGTGTGTGCGTGTGTGGTGTATAGCCTAGTGAGTGCAATTATTGTGACCTATATGCACATTGGTATACAGCTGATCACTTAGGCATGGGGCAGCCTATCAGGAGATTCATCCCTGAAGAAAACGTACTCTCCTTCCTTCACAGTTCATGGAATATAGCTACTGCATGTAGCTAATTCTGTAAACTACAATAGTGACTGGCCCAGCAAGATATAACCAATGGGGCAAAAATGGCAACGAACTTAAGGCCTTCTCAACAGGAGAGAATTCATGTCTGGTTCTGCAAACCTAGCGAAGAACCCATAGTTGAAGCAATCGTAGACCCTAGAATAGAACCTATTGCTATCATTTTGAAAAATCAATACAGTAGCCAACTGACTTCTAAATACTTAGACCCCCTCATCAAAGAAACAATCTTTTTGCAACTGACAAAGACAATTACAGAGAACTACAACTGGTCAAAGCACTGAGAATAAGTGACTGTGGAGTGCCTATCACCAAAGAGGACATTTATATCACAGTCCTTACACTCAAGGCTCAGGGAACATTGTGGAAGAGGGAGCAAGCAGAAAGCTTTTGAGAATCAGAGCACCCTATGAAATAGTGTCTTCTGGAGGGACGTGACAAGGCTGCTTCACCCATGAACTCACAACCACTATGATTGCCTGAACAAAACCACATCAGTCAATAAATATTTCAGCATGGATGCAGGAAGGACACACAGGAATTCACAACTAGAGTCCCTTTTATTTTTCATAACAGAGAAAGATAGGGACAAGCAAATAGCAGAACGCTCAGGCAAATCAGGGTGAGAGTGGCAGATGCAGTTTAGTCTTCTCTCAACCCGGATTTCTGTTTGAAAATTTTAAAGAAAACAATTTTAACACACACACACACACACGGGGGGGGGGTGGAGAGAGGTCTGAGTTCATGCTATATAGTAACATACACAAAGTGAGTGATGTGATAAGAAAATAAAGCAAAACCTAAGGTATAGAATCTGGATTAAAATTTAATTTGATGAAGTTATATCAGAATTCTTATTTAAGCATGTCTATGTGTTAAAGAACTTTTTTGAGACAATATGAATTCAGCGGTTAGAGAAATATGATTTCTTGGGATTTAGTTTCCACTATTTAAACATGGATATAGGAAAGTCACAGTGAATTAATTCAAAGGACTTGAAAACTATCAATTCCTTTCATAAACAAACTTTTAAGTTTTGGGTGTATTTATTTTCTGTGCACAGGTGTTTGCTTGCATGTATGTAAGTGCACTATATGCATGCAATGACCATGAGATCAGAAGAGGACATCATATACCCTGGATCTGCAGTTACAGGTTGTTCTTGGCTTCCATGTGGGTGCTGGGAACCAAACCCAGGCCCTCTGTAAGAGCCCCATAAACAACCAAATTAACTCATAAAAATTATCAAAACTAATTTTATTTTTGTTTACTATAGCTGAATTATATTTCACATACAAAATGTAAAGGTCATCTTTTTAATACATAACGTAAAAGTTCATCTTTTGATACATAATTTTTATAAAGGGAAGATTTTTTTTAAACCATGAGTATTTTTTTCTTCAGTTTTAAACCTTAGTTTCCTTCACTTACTTTAAATAATTTTTAATTTTTATTTTATGTGTATGAGTGCTATACCCGCATGTATGAAAGTGCACCTGTGTCATTCAATGCCATGGAGGCCAGAAGAAGCCATTAGATTCCCTGGAACGGGAGTTAAGGATGGTTGCTAGCTGCCATTTGGGTTTTGGGATTCAAACACTGGTCCTCTGAAAGAGCAGGCAGTGCTCTTAACCACTCAGCCATCTCTCCAGCCCCTTTTTCTCAAATAAATGTTCAGTGTTTTCATTACCATTAAACACGTATAATTTATGTGTTTGTTATGTTCCTAACAGTTATCAAACTATATTTCCCTTTCTCTAGCTGTCTCTGCAACTACTGCTAATTTATTTCTGTTCACTTCAGTAGCCAGCAAATCTCTTCTGAATGTATTCAAAGTCATCAGACATTGTACTGTTTATTTCATTCTATTTAGCCCCTTCCCATCTGAAACACGATGTGCACCCTTGGAGCCCTTTGCCTTTCTACTCTATGCTAGAATGATTGCTGGAACTGGCATTTGTGTTCTTAAGTTATGGGAAACGTTTTGGAATATTATGTACTTGATCATTTCCTCGTCCATTTGCTGAAATGCTTTTTATTTGCTGGTTGAATTTCCTGGATCTGTTATCTAATTTGGTCTTATCTATCATTTTCCATGTTTGTTTTTGTTATTGTGCATCTGGGGACAACTTGAAATATTTTAAAACTGTTACCGCAATGAAAATATAGTCTTAGTGCTCCCACAGATACATTTATTGCATTTATCCGAATTTTGAACTTGGTCTAGCTTTTTAAATCAATGCTGTTAACATACAATAACCATGTCAGCCACTAGATGGCAGCCCTATAACAT